TGACGGCAAATCATGAGAGACAAACAGTTCAGTTCTCAAAGTGTGTGGAGAGCAACAAGACGACCAACTCAGCACACCACACACTGAGAGATTCATTCACCAACAACTTGAGTCTCCACCCTCAGAACGTGTAATCTCATGTGGTCAAACATGATGGTCGAGCTAAATGTGGCTAGCTGTTAGCTGGTACATGCAAAACATTTCGGTCCAGCTCCTTTCCGTCGGATGGATTTTGTTTAGTTTTACAATACACGTTGTAAAAACACAAATCAACAAGTTGGTCCTGAATTTATGACGTCCATCTAACTTGAGTCCCAGTGAGATGATGTGCTCATGCTGCTCCCGCAAGTGAGTGTGAGGGGGGTGATGGCACTAATATCATGCAGCCGGTACAATCATGATCTTTCCCAAGTACTCTTGTTGATACTGTGAACATGTCCATTGATGTAAAGGCCAAAAATTGTGATTAAAGTGTCAATCTCTGTCGCTGTGTTCCATTTTGTATCTCTGCAGCATATTTTTAAACGTCATTTTCTTGCTTCCTGTGACCCCTCCCCTCATCCGAAAGGTCACACTGTGAGGGCCGTGTGTGAACAAGCAGCTCAGGATGACTTTAGGCTCAGATTGTCCTGACATTTTCTGGAAATGTTCACACTTTGCACGTGTGAAAACAGCCACAAAAGTAAAACAGATCAACTCCTCAGTTTGGACAAAGTGAAGCTGAATGCCTCTCCTCATGAGAAGTGTCAGTAAGGCCTATAACCGGGAGCACGCCACTAAAGAGTGATCCGATGGGTTTGAGGGATCGCTCGCAGCTCACATCAGAAGGCTGAATAGCATTGTGAAAGAGAGCAGCATACATAGATGTCATGCGTCCTGCCTCCTGCAGAGAGGTTGAAAGCGAAAAATAGAGCGCAATGAATACTTGAGTGTTCTGGAGGCTATGAAATTGAAAAGACCACGGCCTCTTTTTTTTTTTTTTGCAGAAATATTTCAAAAGAAAAATAGAAGCAGCTCGAGCTTTTTAATCACAACTTTGAGATTGATCGGGCGAACTTGTGTGCAAATCAATGCAGGCTCGACAGACGTTCCTCTTTTATGATAATCCCGATGTCAAGAGCAAGACGAGGGGAATAAAGCAGCAGGCTACCTGACATCAAGGAGAATCACACCGAATTCTCAAAATATTTCTAAAAGCCTGAACACTTCCTGTAAAAATGCAATATCCACTCTGCATGCTTTGAACTCATATAACTACAAACTATACGATTAGCATTTCTCTCATTTAAAGCATGATGTCTTCTTGTTCTTCCTGTGATAAAACCAGACCAGGTTGCAGTCTGCAGACTTCAGGGTTTTAACAAAGAGCAAAGAGAGACAGCTGAGATAACTTCCATTTACAGCGTGAGCCTCGGTGTAGAGGCCGTATACTATTTATGGGTTAATCAATACAGTAGCTGGATGACACCATGTCCCCGCTACTTTCTGTCATGATGATGGCTCACTAATTTTGGAACGGCTTTCTCCTCCAGCCTGCAGCAAGCCTGCACCGGCACTGAGCTCTTAGAGACGGGGAGGCAGAGCTGGTCAGGAAGGCCTTTAATTCTTCTTCTCTTAGTGAGGATGCTGTGTGTGTGTGTGTGTGTGTGTGTGTGTGTGTGTGTGTGTGTGTGTGTGAGAGAGAGAGAGAGAGAAGGGGAGCAAGAGAAGGGAAGAGAGATTGGATGTGTGTTTGCAGCCATTTATGTGAGCATCATGTTGGAGATTTGTAGAGAGAGCAGATCCTGGACTCTGAGCTCTCTCTGTTCTCTGTAGCATTGAGCACCCACACGCAGCATGTTCTTGTGTTTGTTTGTGTCTTTCTGCTGGCAGGGGTCAGCTCACATCAGAGGCACAGCACAGGGGGAGACCCGGGACCCTCCCCTATACTCTGCAGAGATACTGCTGGCTCGAGAAAAAAGCGAGCCGAGCGGTGGAAAAAAAAAGAAAAAGTCATTACCTTGGCACTAAGACTTAACGCTGCTTCCTTGAACCGCCTTTGATCTCGGCCTGATGTGGATACACGGGAGAGGTGGTGCTTTTACGGGGATGAAAGCAAACATTTAACCGCGCGCGTTGAAGAGGCGAGAAAAAGGCCTCGAGTGTGTTTACATTTTGGGCCAGTGATGGCGAGCTTTATTAACACATTTTTTTGCATTTGTTGCAAAATACAAAGAATATGTGAGCATTTTATTTTTACACTTTAATAAAAAATCAACGACTGTTCTTACTCTTTACAGTCCCAACCGCGGGCCCCAGGCCTCATATGGAGGTCGCACAAAATTCAAATGGAGTCCCCTGAAATTTGTAATTATCGATTATTAAATAATATATGGTAGCATTCTGCCTGATTTAAGCTACAAGATGTTATCCTGATTAACATGGGCTACACTGTGAGCCGTAGCCTATGCTAACAAACTAGCAGTATCTCTGTGTGTCTCATCTATGCCTCATGAGTCCATCAATCATTCACAGCCTGGTTACTTAAGGCTCACCGCGAGTCCCCTGAAATTTGTAATTATCGATTATTAAATAATATATGGTAGCATTCTGCCTGATTTAAGCTACAAGATGTTATCCTGATTAACATGGGCTACACTGTGAGCCGTAGCCTATGCTAACAAACTAGCAGTATCTCTGTGTGTCTCATCTATGCCTCATGAGTCCATCAATCATTCACAGCCTGGTTACTTAAGGCTCACCGCGCTGTACACATCGTACACTGAGAACAATAACATCTTCACTTTGTGCACAAATCTCATCCCGGCTTTTTTCCCTCTGTCCACAAGAATATACATGAAAGAGACTTAATGTGGTCTATAATAAAGGTTTACTTGCAACACATGATTGAAAATATAATAATTTTAGTAATAAGCTTAAACATACATGTAGAATTGAATTAGAATGTTTACACTGAAATATCTAAGATATTAAAAATGGACTAAAACTACGTTATATATTTATTTTGTTGTTGAGTTCTTACATTACCTCAAATATTCCAACAGTTATCAAAGCCAGAGAAATCCGTATTTTTAGAGTTGTAACGGGACGTGTCTTTAGAGGCAGCCACTATGACAGAGCCGTCAAGACAGACACGACATGTTTATGGTTGCCGTGGAAACAACGGCTGTTACATAAAAGCTACCATATTGTTGCTGTATGTGCTGCTGTGATAAAAACGTCATGTAAATTATACTCTGATACATTAGCTCGTCTGTAAACATATTCCCTTCCTCAGGTCGGATCGCCCCCGGTTGGGAGGGTTAGCAGAGAGAATCACTCCTGTAATTCCCCGCCAGCTTTGGCGTCATCTTTTGTTATTGTATTGATTGATAGCCCCCTGGTGGTGGAATCTACACAGTGTGCCTTTACATTTTTGTGAAGTTAAAGTGGAGCCAAAAAAATATATTTACAGTGTTATCAGACTCATTGTGTCGATTTTTAAATTGTCATATGAATTATAGATAAGTGAGAAATCAGAGCTTCAAATTGCACATTTTGTATATATTGTGTTTACTTTGTTATGAAAATGCATCCCTACCAACCGACGGTTAAAGGGATAAAAATGTTGATTTTTTTGCACTCAAATATTTATTAAAAATGGACTCAACCTATTATATATATTTGTTGTTGTGTATGACATCACCTCAAATATTTCTAACAGCTTTTGAACTAATATCTATTCCTAAATTTATGTCAGATGCTTCAGCTGTTGCAGATCGGCCCCCGTAGTAACACCATACCTCCTCTCAGTCGGTCTTAAACAGAACTAAAAGATACCAATAAATTGTGAATAATGACTTCAAATTGTATTTATAAGCACCTTTCTGGAAACACAAGGACACTGTACAACAATCAACATTAAAAAAAAAAAACGACGCTGGATAAAATCAGCATACAAAAAAGAAATAAAATGCAGCTTCTCACAAAGTTTATGATCAATGGTCACACCTAACATCTTGTTTATCTTGATAAGATTAAAGTTTCTATTTATCTTCTGTGACTTACTTTGTACCTGTAGGTAGATTTGTTTTATAGCCGGTGAGATTGACATCCATCATGACACACAGATTACAAAACAGATAACAAGAGGAGAGAGAAGTCTCGACCAATAAAGGTCAATAAAAACTCAAATACATAAATCAACAAATAATGTCTTTAGCCTGGTTACCCGCACTGCTCCCCGACTTTTTTATTTTTTAAGCTATAGAGCCACTGAATCAGTTTTAAAATCAAAACCATCTCTATAATAATCCTCAGTATTGTATTTGTCTATTTGTTTGAATTATCCTCTTGAATAAAGTAAAATGAGGCATTTAGTGTTATTAAACTGTTTAATGTGTGTGTGTGTGTGTGTGGGGGGGGGGGGTGGAGGATGGGCGTGTGTAACAACTTACCCCGGTCTCCCCTCCCATGAATGTCAACAGCAGCTTTGTAATTGTGTGGGATTAAATATAATATTATTAGCGGCTGATTGTGTTTATTAGGAAAAATCTTATAATCAACGTGTGTGTGTTTTTTTCTCACTCGAATGTCAATTACAGACACTTAGAAAACCTAAACAATGACGGGCCAATAAAATAATAATGAGATATTAAACAGCAGAGTGTCCCCCACATTTACAGAAATATGACAGAGACACGTTTAAGTGCGATAACGGTTCAAACCAGAGAGGATGAGTCCAGATGAGACACACATCTGGTGACATTAGTGGAGTATTATTCTAATGTGTGTGTGTGTGTGTGTGTGTGTGTGTGTGTGTGTGTGTGTGTGTGTGTGTGTGTGTGTGTGTGTGTGTGTGTGTGTGTGTGCTCATTATCCGCCCACTGTGTGTAATAATCAACTAATAGCTCGTGAGCTGTGATTCACGCGCACAGCCAGTGGAGTTAGTGGTAGGAGGAGGGTCGCGCGCGGTGCCCGCCCCTCTCTCTCTCTGCCTGAGAAGTAAAGAGTTAACGGAGGGAGCGGTGGGTTTGCCCATTCTCCTGCTGAGAGTGACGCGATCATCTCTCTTATCCCTCAACTTTGCCTGTTGCCAGAGCAGGCAGCCGAGCCGGACGCTGCTGTCCCCGCTAACTCTCTCTCTCTCTCTCTGATCGCGACCTCACCACAACAACACCTTCAGCTCACACACGTTTTTTTTTTATTTATCCCTCCGGCTGGCTGTGCTGACACTCGGCCGCGATGTTTCCTAGTTTCTCTTCCCATCGGACTCCCCGATGTTGTGCGGTGAACTACACGGAGGCGTGAATCTTTCTGAGTAGAGGTGGATCTTCCCGGATACGGCGAGGGGAGCATATCAAATCCCGAGAAAAAGAGAAGACTTTCACGGAAATCCCCACGAACAGAAATGCCGAGGAGGAAACAAGAAGCGCCGAAGCGCGCGGCAGGTACGTGTATCCAACTCTTAACGTGCGTAAAAATAATAAAAAAGGCTCTTTGCTGTTTGTCAAACTGCGGATGTTACCTTTGTTGTGTAAAGCTCACTTCACAGTCACTGCAGTTCCGTTTCCACTCCGTGTTCTCTGACGATGCTTTGTCACTGTGGGACACTCTGAGGGCTCTTACAAAGTGTGCTCTTTGTAAAGATGTACACTTTGTATACAACAACGCGTGAATCGGTGGGTTCGGCTCTGCACGCCGCTCAGCTCCTGTAGTCCCATTGGATGACTAGACTGCTGTAAACTTTCGCTTCCTTTTTTTTTTTTTTTTTTTACCCTAGCGTGATTCCCTGAAGTTTACCTACTCTCAGCTGAATCTCTTTCCGTGAATAATCAGTGTTCCTGATGCTGAGTGACCGAGGCGTGCCATGAACGGGACATTCGGGCTTTGTGCGCATTTGATCCGAGCACATAACTTCTTTTCTCTTTTTTTTTAACACAAGCAGGGGGGGTGAAAACCCTACCTCTGAGCTTTTCTCTTTTTTCTTGGGATAAGATAAACAATTTGAGAGCAGACAATGGGGTTTCGTGGGCTGGAAGGAGCCATAATCGACAGTTGCCATGTCTGATTTGACGGTTGATTGATTGGCTGTCATGCGGCTTTGATCTGATCCTTCCCGATTTGCATCAGAAAATCACTTCCCACCATGTGCTACAGACCCCTGACGTCACGTTTAAACCACTTTGAAAGGCCCTGTGTACTTTTTACCCTCTCTCTCTCTCTCTCCTCTCTCCCTCTCTCTCTCTCTCTCTCTCTCTCTCTCCCTCTTTCCCTCTCTCTCTCTCTCCCTCTCTCTGTGATGGTCAACTGACTCACTAAAAAGTAAAAGAAGGGGGGACAAAGTGGTTTCACTGTGAGACACGCACACACACACTTTAAGCAGAGAACATCACACTCCCATGTGCACATGCTCACTTGTTCACACACACACACACACACACACACACACACACACACACACACACACACACACACAGAGTGGGCAGAGGGGGCGGGAGGAGTGGGTTAGAGGTTGTAAAAGGAGCCGTGTGCTATGTAATGGAGGGGAGGAATGGGTTTGCTCTGTCAGACCGGGCCGTCACAACGGCTTTGTTTCATGTTTGATTTAATTGTCTCTCCCCTGACAGGCCCATTCATCAATGGCTTTAATGGTCAATCAGAGACAGGCTGAGTGAGTGCTCCCATTCTGTTTAGCCATAAGCTGGCCTGGGCTTTTATTTCATCAAAATGCCCCAGCCTAATGTACATGCTCACTGGCTCAGAGTGGCCGCGGGGAGCACATAAAGAATGACTGAAAGCTTTCTGATTTCAGATCAGTGAGAAGGATGTTTTTCTCTCTCCTCCTCGCCTCTCTCTCTCTCTCTCTCTCTCTCTCTCTCCTCCACACGGCTGTTGCTCTGCTGTCGAGAGCAAATAAAGGCCGTAATGTGGATCGTTTAGTGTTTTTAGAAAACAACTTTTTCTCCCTGAAACCACGCTCCTTTGTTCATTCATTCATCTGTTCATTTCTTCATTTTTTTTTTTCATGCTCCCCTTCCACCCCTGTCAGTCAGCCCGTGCAGCTGCAAGTTATAAAGTTGTCAACTGTTCAGTGGCACACAAAGGGTGATGATGAATTGATTGCAGCACAGAGCATGGTGATAGAGAGAGCAAAGAAAAGGATGACAGATGATGGGCCTTGATTAGGGACTTAGGGGGAGAGTCAGCCCACTGCAACCTTGAGACTTGCATGAAAAATCCCCCTCCCGCCCCTCCACGCACACACACACACACAAACACATTTATACACATACACACACACGCACTCTGCTTTGCTTTCTCATTGTCTCTCCACCACACACTCTCTCTCCTTCCTTCCTCCGTCTGAGAGGGTTTCTCTCTCCACAGTAGAAAACTTGTTTTGCCTGCTTCATTAGCGTTGCTCCAATTAGCCGTGAGGCTGATGGAGTCCTGACAGGCCCTGTGATTGGAGATGACAAGCTCGGGGTGCCCAGCCCAATGAGGTTTGCCACCACTTTGATGTAATCAACTTGATATTACACAGAGCCGCTCGCCTTTGGTTGTGCTGTAACTCAATTTTCCGCTGCAGGTGACAAATGGGCCTGCCTACCTGGGTCAGGTCTGAGTGCTCTTAACAACCGAGGGCAGCTGGCCACGTAAACAGCCCAGCAAACATGAGAAAGAGACTGGTCCCCCAGCTGTGGAAATACAGACCTGCTTCCTCTGTGGCTGCTGATTACCTCTGCCACAGACCAGGGCCCTGAAGAGGTTTAAACGGCTGCAGAAATCCTCCTAACAGGACACCAGCCTAACAACATGAGGGCAACGATGCCTCAATTCAACAGGAATGTCTCACCTGTACAGTTTGTCTGCAGAAATCTGCAGCTTGATTACGTCGTCCAGACTGTTGCCTGTGTGAGCACGCTGTCAGACTCCCCCGTTGTCTGTCGTAACCTGTGTCAAGTGTGTAAGAGAGAAGAGTCCAACACAGTCTGATTTGGACCGGACTCCACAGCAACAGTCTCTTCTTTCTGCCCGCTCAGGATTAAAGCTGCCAGACTGGCAGACATCACTCACATCTATCACTAAGTGTGTGGGTGTGTGTGTGTGTGCACTAAAATCAGTGAGCATACACTTTTGGATTCACTGGGTTTAAATGTGTGTAGAAGTTGTGGTTTGGCTGCTGGTGACAGGAATTGTAACTGTAGACTACCTGCAGGGGTCAGGCCGTAATTCTCTGAGCTCTTTAGGCCTTCTTCGTTACTCGTCGACGTCTTCCTCCCTTCGCTCCTCTCAGGGTTTGCACGTCACCTTTGCAGCATATTCAAGCTTAAAAAGACAACAGCGTTATGCACAAACCTGGTTTGTTGACGTTTGTAAGGATACAAACCTTTACAGCACACTGCAGATATAAAAGCAGCGAGTGAAAATGTAGAAAGCTGTTTTCCTCCTACCTCCTTCCTGTTGTTTTTTTATGTGTGAAAAGCTCGTCCTCGTGGAAGCAGCGGGGAGAGATCTGGGACGTAATTGTTTAACCGACAGACGAACTGACAGCGTTAGTGAGCTTCAACAACACTACGCCTCCGCTGGCGTTGTTTGCAGGTGTGAGCTCGGCAAATGTTTTGGCCTTGCAGGCCCCGTTGCTAATGAAAGTCCTGTTGCTGGATTCCGGTGAGGTTGAGTCACGTCTGTGATCTATGTGTCTGATAAGTGCATACCTAATGAGGCTGTGAGCACCAGTGGAAGGAGGAGGGGGACTGACGGAGTGTTTCCCACAGGTATTGACAGATGCCTTTTTGTTTTTGCCATAGGCCCTGACTCCATAAATCCTGCCTGTGTAATGATAACAGTGCCACCCTGCCAGAGAGTGAGTGAATGAGAGAGAGAGAGAGAGAGAGAGAGGGGAGGAGGAGGAGGAGGAGGAGGGGGTGATGAAGAGAAAAATAGAGGGGGCGAGGAAATGGGCCTTCTCCTCTTTTGAACACACACTTGGCAGATGTCAGGCTGTGGGAGAGAGAGAGAGAGAGAGAGAGAGAGGACTGGAAGTGCTGGAGTTGTGTCACAAAATAGGAAACTGTTTCCTTTCAGCTCTCAGGTTTTCAGCCCAGACTGCTGTCTGAGGCAGAGGCTTTGTAAAAATAGTCCCACCGCTGTTGTGATAGATGCAGCTGCACTGTGGCGACAATTGGGACAGGCTGGATCCCTCCAACTCCACCTCCCACCCACCCACCTTCTCTCTCTATCTCTCTCTCTCTCTCTCTCTCCGTCTCCCGCCCCTCCCAGAGGTAGCGAGCGTCACAGCCCGGTTGGATGTGTTCTCTTTTTCGGGGAAACTGAGCTGCTCCGGTCTTCAGGGGTCCTGAAACCCAATCCAGGAGGAGAATAGCCTGGCCATGCCAGAGAGCCGATTTCCTTTTCAACAGAGTCATTTATCACTGACCCACCCTTCGCTTCTGACACGGTGACGTGTGTCATTTATCAAACAGGCTTTACCAGACACACAGAGAGGGAGGGGAGGAGGAGGGGGGGCTCAGAGGAAGAGAAAGAGAGAGTGAAAGAGGGGAAAAAGACAGAGAGTGGACGCTGAGAGACAAAGAAAAGGAGAGGAATGAGGTGCAGAGGAATAAAGAGCGAGGAGGAGAAGACGTCTGCGTGAGAGAGCTTTTCCAGGACAGAGTTTTCCTGAAAGCCTCGAGGAGAAGGGTTCTTTGAGGGGAGATTTTTTGGAGATGACAGAGAGGATTGAGTTACTCTGAGTTGTGTATTGATGAGTGACAGAATGTTCCATGACATCTTTCTAGACATCTAAATGAAGGAAGAAATACACTTAGAGAGCGGACGTGGATGCTCCTGTTATGAGCATGTAATCAATGCACAAGAAACACACATAGAAGCTCTGAAGAGGACCTGTGTTTGTGTGTGTGTGTGTGTGTGGCCATATGGCGTCAATGTTTAATGGCGTACGTGTGTGTGTGTGTATGTGTGTGTGTGTGCTGCTCCCTGATGAGCGGGGCTGACAGGTATCACTCACGCAGCAGCCTGGCCTTTAAATGAACCCGAGCTGCTCTGCTCTCCCGTGGCCCTAACAGGCTCTCTCCAAGATGGATGCTTCTTTAAAAATCAGATTAATGATGGATACCAGGCTTATAGTGCCATTTATCATGAAGAATATTATTTAGGCCGGTCGTGTATGGCTGTAACTGGAGAGCCAGGACGAGGAGAAGCAGGGTGGAAAGCCTGAGACAGACACTCACTGTGTGATGGATGGCTGAGCGCTCTCTGAGTGTTACTAGACACCAGCGCCGCAGCAGTAGGCCATAATCAGATAGCCCAGGGATGTTTATCCCGCAACTACACTACCCAGATTGCCTTAGCCTGGAGGGTTGCTTTATGAAAGGTGTAGTCTATCATTATTATCTTTAAAAAGTTTGTGGAGTGATGAAAAAAG